GAGTATTGTTACCTTAAAGGTATGAATGGCTTCTTGAAATGTCAAGCCCTTTATCGGTATTCCATTTACATCCAGGATTTCATCCCCTAGTGACCAAATATGAGAATTATATGAAAATTAAGCTTCAATTGACTGGGATCTAACTGCTCGGTCAGTACTAGAATGCGATCCCATATGGGCCCTGATTTACTGCTCTGTAGAATGACTTTTATTGTTCAAAACCACTTTCATTAGCCTAGCTCCCAGGAATGCCACAAAATGGGACAAGTAATGACAGTGCACCTTATTTTACAGTAATTCTGTATTTCAATCTTCAATTAAAACAACTATGGGAAGCATCAAGACCTTATTCTTTAGCCATTGCCAAGATTGACAACAGATATCCTATCTTTAGAGATCAAACTGCAAAAACTGAGTTCCAAACCTTTTCTCCTAGTCATTGTTTAAAAACCCAAATCCACCAGCAATGAAGCATGAACACACACAAGATTTGAGAAGCTACTCCTATATTTGCAGAAAGACAAGCTCCCTGAGCCCAGAGAATCATCACTGTGTATGGAAAAAATGGCTTCAATAATAGAGACAAAAACTTGCTGAGATATTACTGAGTAATGGCAGCCCCACCGCCAGAACTGATCTTACTGATGTCTGGTCTTATTGATGCGGTTCCAGGTTCTCCGCCATTACGCTGGTAACTCACTCACCATTCCCCACCCCTAACCCAGCTATCCTCTCATCTTCAACCCCAAGAAGGTACATTCAGGTGATTTTTCAAGCTGTTGATAGCATCTGCTGGGAATATAAAAGAACATGGACATCCTACTGACTTATCAGAGCTCATTTCTGGTTTGCACTCTCCTGACATGGGCGGTTTTTTGGAATAAGAGTTCATGAAAAACACTACAAAGATGCCCCAGAGAGGAGAACAGATGAACTTTGCACAGCAGTACAGAAGAAGGACTTTGCACACCTATAAGAAAGTGCAAGGCAGTGTAGGAACACACGTTTTCACCTCTCACAGGCGGCCAATCCCAGGAGCACACTGTGTGTACGACTAAAGGACTCTGTGGATGAACTTCAATGACATAGCAGCACCCCGAGCCTTTGTTATGAGCCTTCTCTTTAATGCAATTACAGAAGGTGTAAAATAAGTGGAATCATCTGTTTAAAAATCACCTGGCACAACCAATTAGTCCATTAAGTGAGGAGGTTTGTATTTTTGGGTTGTTTCCACATGGAAAAAGGAAAGGAACATTAAAATAATTGCTCATGCTCTTAAAATGTATATAAGATTTTTAAAAAACATATCACTCAACAGGTTGAAAATCCATTCCAATGACTTATATTTCTTGTAAATGAACACATATGAAAAAACAGTACTGAGAGAATCAAGTGCTATTAACCTTTCCTAACTATTGATTTTTTTCCCCTTCATTTTGCTCCATTCTACCAGCCTTGCAGGATGAATTTCAATCAAGTGAACACATGGCACATCCATTATAAAAATGCTCTGCTAGAATTTTACTTTGTTCTGAAACTAGACACAAATACCACCTGGGAGTTAACCCTTCCTCTAAGAGGGAGAAATAAATATCCTGCCATGAAAGTATTAGGCCTGGTCACGTCTTATTGTCAACATTCAGGCTTCTATGCTTACTCTGCCTAAAAAGGAGGAGACTCTGATTTGTTCCTATCAGTTCCAAAAATAAATAAGTAAATAGATAAACAAACCAGTATAACATAATACACCTACAATTTGGATCAACTGAACAATCACATTTTTGAAGGTAACTGGAAATATGCTCATTTAATCATTTCACGAAGGAAGTGTATTAATATGGGAGGAAAAAAAATCAGGATTCATGCTTTGGTGAATGCTACCTAAAATATGTTCAGAATGAGTGGTAACTTTGCTTTATAAAACTATATAGTCTTGGGCCGGCCCGGTGGCGCACTGTTACAGTGCGCCGCTTGGGAGCGTGGCGGCGCTCCCGCCGAGGGTTCGGATCCCACATACAGACCGGTTCCCGCTCACTGGCTGAGCGAGGGGCGGGCGCAGCGCCGAGGGTTGCGATCCCGTTGCCGGTCCCGGTCCGGTACGGGCGCAACACTGAGGGTTGCGGTCCGTTGCGGGACACAAAAAAAGACAAAAAAAAAACCAACTATATAGTCTTAATCTAATTCACAGCATTATATACAGATATGCAAATATATATTTAAGAACATTCTTTATTAAAAGCAGCTACTGTGTCTTTTACATAAACAATCACATTTTATTTTCTCAAGTATCATGACATGTTCAAGAAGGAAGAATGAGTTTTGAGTCCCCAGTCTTGTATGTAAATGAGGCAGCAGTGGGAAGGTGGGGAGATTAACTGAATTTGGGATCAGAAAATTGAGTTTAAATTTCACTTTTGCTATGTACGAAGGGCAGGATAAGTTTCTAGTCATTTCACATTTCTGAGTGTCAGTTTTCCCATTTGTAAAGTGGTCACTCCATAATGCCTACTTGACAGGTTTTTATTGCAATAATTTAAATGTAGGGGAATGCTTTGTAAATGTTAAAAGCACTATAAGATATGACATATTTAAACATGAAAAATATTTTACTTGCAAGGTAGAACTTGGCATCTCAATATTACTTTAATTTGCATTCAAAAGTACTTATCTAGTATATTTATGTGTGGCAAAATTTAGGTGCTAAGGAGAATGTAAAAGGTGTTTATTTAGGAGCCAAAACAGGTAGTGGTTGATTTCACCAGCAAGATATTAAATGTCTTCCGATGATCAAGTACTCTGCTACCACACCAGCCCCGAGGCAAGAATGGACCCCAAACTCTCAAGAATTTTCAAGGCAAGGAATGTGATCAAAGACCAACTGGCCAAGACAGACACTTAAAGACCCCAATAAAAACATCAAGCCATTTTCTATATATTATCTCATTTAATCCTCACAACACTTCAAGGTGATTCTCATGGAATCAAAGCTCAGTCTCATTGAGGGTAACCAAGAGGCTTTTTTCTACCTTCTTTAAGTCTTCCATCCTCTGCAGCTGATCCATTTGGGAAAATGGTCTTGACAAAAATCCCCATCTGTCCTCGAATGCAGTCTCGACCTCCAGCAATGCTAAAGCCAAGGCCCTACATCCAAAGCAGATGGGAGTCCAGGTTGACATTGTAATATTTAACGGAGGGCATCCTTCCTGTTGTAGTGTTTACTTCACTGAGGGCATCCTTCCCATCACAGTATTTAACTGAAGTGCCCTTCTCAAGCAGGCTTGAAGTTAACCTAATCAACTAGGCTGTAAATTCAAGTTTGCATTCCCTTTTCCATTTCTCTCCTTGGATCTGTTTGTGTTGCACTAGCCATGCACTGCATTAAAGGGAGAAAGTTTTAAGTTGAAACATATGAAATTGCCAATACTTGACAATCTTTGACCACCATCTCACACTCGGTAGGCCTGCAGGAAAGAATGCCAGGGAATCCACTCAAATCCATACAAAGGCCTTCCATTTCTCTCCTTGGATCTGTTTGTGTTGCACTAGCCACGCACTGCATTAAAGGGAGAAAGTTTTAAGTTGAAACATATGAAATTGCCAATACTTGACAATCTTTGACCACCATTTCACACTCGGTAGGCCTGCAGGAAAGAATGCCAGGGAATCCACTCAAATCCATACAAAGGCCCCTTAATCTATTCCTCTTTATACCTGTTACTTTTTATTTCATGTAAAAGCAAATAAAAATAATAAAATGTACATGGCAAAATAGTCCTCAGAAAAGAGCTCACCTTGCCTTTTTCTTTGTACAGACCAATGATAGAGATCACGGATGGCCGGATGAGTCTCCAAGGAGATTCCACCTGAGTGGCGCTTAAGGAGCGGGTGGACTTCTTTACAATGTGATATTCCTGAAAGTCAGCACACGGCAAGGTCAGAGATATTCTCATTTATTCTGTTGTGGTCTCTAGCATAAAAATATACTCAGACTTTGAAAATCTCAGCTGTCTTCTGTGTTAGATAACCAGTCCCCTCTGGTCCATTGCAGGTTCAGTGGCTTGAAGAAAGTTTACTATAAATAACACTGGAGGAATAGCCCTGCCTCCACGTGGGCTTTCTTTCCCCTTGTAAAGAACTGCACGGAGACCACAAACACCTTGTGTTGCTCTCTCCTCCACCGCATTCCACAGATGCTCCTTCTGGATCGGAGTCAGGAAGCAGAAACCAAGAGGCCTCAGGGATGGAGATGACTACCCTGTGGTCGATTCACCTTTGGAAGTCACCCCCCAGTCCCCATCCCAAGTTCACAATCATGGTTAGAAAGTATCTCACCACGTTAAGCTTAGTTCCCTTATTTAAAAACTCAGCAAGCCCTTGTTTCTTATAAAATCCAAACCACAAACCCAGACAGCTCTTAGATGATTCCACATAAAATATTCTGCTGAGAGATGGCAGCAGCTTCAGTTCTAATCCCTCACATTTGGAAAATAAAATATTTTCTCATAAGCCACACTCTTTCCCTTCTGGCACCCAGCAGCTCTACTCCCAATTCCCCTTTTGTGTCCATCACCCATAATATACATGTGTGTGAGCAGGGTGCCTCATTTATAACATATACAGGAGATTAAGTGATGCTGTGGTAAAGCACTTCAACAATCCAGCACCTTGCTGTTCTTCTTAGAATAATAAATTTCTTAAATGGTGCGGATATTCTAGCATAAGCTCCCCCCCAACAACGACAAATCACTTCATGTTTAATATGAGAAAAGAGACATCACAAAAGTTTTTATCCTTAATTTAGTATATTCAAACGTAAAAATGAGATGTCCCCCAATGATATTTTTGTATTCCTGGTAGCTTAGAATTATATTTTGCAGTTTTACAAAATAGCTGCCAGAAATGTTGGCCTCCCAGACTGAGCCATTAAAAAAAATGACGTGGGCTTGGCAAGGTTACTACCCTCTTACTGAAACCATCGTGGAGATAGCCAGACATGGGTTTTCAACCTTCCAGTACAGAGCTTTGTGGGCGAACTCATAAGGGGACTCCTCCTCTGGTCACTGGTCTTCAGCAGCACCGCACTCCATCTCCCTACTGGGACCCAGTGGGAACCAAAGGGCTGCATGCTTCACCAGTCTCTCAAAGAGTTTCAGGGGTCCCCTGCACTTTCCAGACCTGTGCTGTCTGGCAAAGTAGCCACGGTGGCTGCCTATATTTAAATTAGGATGAATTAAAATAAAAAAGACACTTCTCAGTCTCACTCTTCTCTTTTCATGTGCTCAGAAGACAAACGTGGCTACCCTATTGAACAGCAGAGACAGAAAACATTTGCAGCAGTGCAGAAAGTTTTATTGGATAGCTCTATTCTAGACAATATTTTTTAATGGAAGGAGAGAGAACAAGAAGAAAGAAAGGTAAATCCTGGGAGAAAAAGAAAAAGGAGGGAAAAAAAAGACAATTTAAAGAGAGAAAAACTCTTTTTCTAAGACTTTCTACACTAGCTTGGGCTTCCTGATTCCTGGAAGCCTGGTTAGAAATGGATGTTTCTAGGCTATAAACACGGTGAGTTTTCTTCAATGGGTCAGTTAAAAAGTCACCACCTCAACACTAGATCTTCAGCCCTCATGGCAGTAAATGCTCTCTCATCTTTCACACTAACTAAACAGCCTGACAATCCGGCTCTCGTGCAAGTTTCTGATCTTTCTCTGACTCTGTGGGTCCAGTCGAGTCATTCTGAGCTGGCCGCATACCCGTCTTCAGTCATGGGTCTGGACGAATCTTAACAGTCCTATGCAATTTCTTTCTCTGCTTTTCCTCAATGCCGCAACTCTGTTTGAGTTGCCTTTGGGCGAATCCAACAGAAAACAGCCTGATCAACTGCCTCTGGAACGTGGGCACGTTTTATTTTCCTGGTCAGGTAAAGAGTGTCAGAAGCCACACAAATACTATCCTGACGTGTAACTGACGAGATTCACGCAGCTTCCTTCAGAGTCTGGAACCACCATCTTGAGCAAAATAGCTAACCTCTTTGAGATTCAGTTGTCTCATCTGTAAAATGGTCATAGCACACCAAAAATAAGGGCCCGACCCAGATGACCTGACCCAGCCCTTTAGAATTCTACTATCTATGAGTCTCCAGGCATTTATGGGGGTTGCTGCTGTCACCTCTAATTCACCATAGGCCTGGGAACAAGACGCTCATGGTTTCTCTTGAGCCCTCTGGCTGATGGTGCCAGGACTCAAAGAACACCCACAAGTTCCCCAGTGACTGAGCCTGCCTCCAACTTGGTTATGAGACTGTCCACCCGGTTTCTCCTGGGCTGAGGGGACTATGACTGAGGAGGAGCCCTGTGCAGGGGTGTGAAACACAGAGCTGCGATGGAACAGGCTCTGAAACATGAACTCAGCCACTGACTTACCACTCTCCAGCCCCTTCCGACCTTGGCTGCATATGGCTGCGTAACAGGAGTGGCACAGGCACGGGCGCACGTACCCGCACCCACCCACACAGTGGATATGCTGACACATGACGTTCCCGTTCAACAAGCAACGGTGGTTCACCACAGACGGTGAGACGCCATTGTCTCCTGGCAGTTGCAAGCAACTTTCAGTTCCAAAACACACAGTAGGAAGCGGATCAAGACACTGAGACCCAATAAGGGATTTTTTTCCCTACATTTTGAAACATTAGGCTGGCTTCTTTTTTTTTTTTTTGGTGTCCGGCAACGGACTGCAACCCTCAGTGTCGCGCCCGTACCGGACCGGGACCGGCAATG